CAGCACTAGTCGCAGCCAGAGGCCAGTGCTCCCAGGTGTCATCCAGCGGCCGTCTCCACCGACAACCCTGCCGTCATCGATTGGTTGACTCGGTCGTCCTTCCTCTTCCCAGGTCACCTCTGACACCTACAGCCAACGGTACGGTGGGTACGTCAGACACAACCGTTAGTTGGCATGGCCCGGGAGCAAGCCCACTGAAAATCACGTGTCCTCGACCTGCCCCTGTCCTTTGGTGTTCCCTCACCAAGCGAAGTATCGCATGCTGGTGGGCTCAGCCCCACTGTACGTGAGGAAGAGCTAACAAGAGGGCGGTCAGGAACGGGGGGGAGACATCCGCCTCTTCAGCAGCGAGCCAGGCGAAGAAGTACTGGCGAGGAGAGTGGCTCGGTAGCCGGTCTAGAGACAGGTCTGTCTCCTGACCCACACGCAGCCTAGGGGGCTAGTAAGTGACGCGGAGACCCTAATTGATGATGATGAGGCTGATCGCACTTGGCAGCCTCGTCGTCATCAGGCTATTGCTTCCCCGCATCATCAGGAGAAGAGGGTGCCAGCTTGCCAGCGAGCAAAACAGTCGGTGGGTTGCCCAGGAGGCAGCAGGGTCGCAGCAGTGTCAGTGGAGCCAAACGGCCACGGAGTAGAGCACCAGCTCCACTGCAGCCTACCACCACCATAAACATCGCCAGTTAGTGGTGCCGGTGTGCACGGAAGAAGTAGCATCAGCCAGTGAGAGGAGTAGCGGGGGCAAAGTTTCCTACTCGGGGCGGTGTGGCAAATTTTTTTCGTCAAGAGCCGCCCGAGAAGTAAACGTAGCCGTATGTCGACTATGTGGCCAGAAAGTCAAGCGTGGCCAGGGGGCCAATGTTTTGGGACTAACAGCGTTGCGTCAGCATATGCAGCGTCGCCAATTCGGTGGCCTGGAAAACCGTGATAAAAGATACGGCGGTTCTTCCTGCCTGCCCCAGCCCCCCCGCTTCCCATCACCGTTACTTCTTGCTCCGTCACCCGACGTCAATCGCCCTCTATCAAGCCAGTCAAGGCTCCAACACCTCTGCTGAGGGGGAGTTGTCGCTCGTTGGCATCTCCGCTCATTCAGATGCTCCTTCTCCTCTACTCCTCTTCACGGGATTCCGTCAGCAGTCTTCTTGGAATCCGTTTCCAAGGGACGACAGTTTTGCGAGCACCGCGCACCCGACGGTGCAGAAGCTGAACGTCCTCATGTCCAAGTTGCTGGTGCTGCAGTCCCTCCCTTTCCAAGTGTGGACTCAGCACCTTTCCGAGAAATGATGGCTTGTGCCGAGCCGCGGTGGAGAGTGCCAAGCCGGCATTTCTTCGCCAAAAAGGCAGTGCCAGCCCCTGCATTCACATGTAGAAGAGATGGTGGGGCCAGTCTTTGAGCATGTCGAGTCTCTGCCAAAGTGCACGGCAGCGCCGACGTGTGGGAGCTGTAACTACGGTCAGGGACAGTACATGTCATTTACGGCCCACTGGGTGAACGTGTGCCGGCACAGCCGCACCAGCAACTTGGACAGGGTCACGCCGCTTTTGCCTCCACGTTTGCATGTCCTTGGTCCAGCAAAGATGTCGCCTCTACCACCTCTTCTTTAACCGCCGTTGTCCTCAGCCGCCACCCACCCGTGCCAAGTCCCATTACACGAGCGGCATCCATCACATGTGCAGGGCGCCAACGGTGTCACGCTATGCGTGCACCTGGTATGCCTTGGCGAACGTAGTCACACAGGGGAGGAACTTCTGAGTGTAATGAACAGAGAAATCGACAGATGGCTGTCTCCGCGCAAACTGAAAATCGGAACCATGTTGACCGACGACAACGGAAAGAACATGGTGTCTGCTCTTGGCGTCAAGGAAGGTTTGTGCCATGCGCCATGCATGGCTCACGTGTTCAATCTGGTTGTCAAGCGGTTCCTAAAATCACCATCCCACTGCAAGACATCCTAAAAATGTCACGTAAACTTTGCATGCATTTCAGCCATTCCTACACCGCAAAGCACAACCCTCCTTGAGCTGCAGCGGCAGAACGGAATTCCACAGCATCGCCTGATCTGCGACGTTGCAACAAGGGGGAATTCAACCCTACATATGTTAGACCCGCCTTTACGAACAGCGAAAGGCCATCACCGATTTCCTGATGTTACAAGCGGATAAAGGTTACTCCCCTGTGTAACTTAGATGTCAGCCATTGGCAGCTCATGCGTGACACACCTGCCGCTTGCTCAGCCCTTTGAGGAGGCCACACTATTCGTGAGTCGGCAGGACTATGGGATGAACGACGTCATTCCTCTGTTGCACGTCCTGGAACAAATGCTGTTAACAATGGCTGGTCAGGGTGCGGTAGACGTGGCGCACAGATCTCACGCCACATGACCCCTGTGGGGGGCAGGACAGGAAGAAGAGGAGGAGGTAGAGGAGGACATTGGTGCTCAGGAATTATTGAGTGAAATGGGTGGTTTTCCACTCCACAGCGGACAGGAGTGGAGGAGCAGAGAGCATCTGGTAGAGGAGGAGGAGGAGACAGAGGACCCAGACGCACCGTGGCAGTATGCTGTGGAGATGGAGGCAGGGAGTCCCTCGCATTCCTTGGCACAAATGGCCCATAGCATGCTCGGTTGCTTGCGTAGCGACTCCCGAAAATAATAACCATCAACAGAGGGATGACTTTTGAGCTGTCCACCTTGTTGGACCCTCGCTTCCTCTAGGACTACCGTGTTCAAAAAATGGTGGCCTTTTCACACCTGCTGAGAGGGAGGCCAAAATAAAGTACTATAAAAACCACCTATGTAGTCCAGTTGGTCTCTTGCCTTTCTGCGCCCAACGTCCATCCTCAGACACTGTGTGCGCCTGTGCGCTCGCGTTCCGCTGCCATGGCAGCAGGGGAGGGCGTGGGGTGGTAGGAGCAGTGGCAGCTCCACCAGCAGCGGCTGCCTCAGTCTGCAGTCGATTATGAGTAGCTTTCTTCACCAGCGCAGTGAGGAAACTACTAACCAGCCGCAGCAGCAGCAGCATCAGGTGGACCTGGAGCAGGACCTTCAAACAACAGGCTTGGGCCTACTTGGACAGCACCCTGCCAACCGAGGTAGACAATCCCCTTGACTACTGGGCACCGAAACTTGACCTTTGGCCCCAACTAACTGAATTTGCCCTTGAAAGGCTGTCATGCCCGGCCAGTAGCGTGGCATCGGAGCGCGTGTTTAGTGCGGCAGGAGGTATTGTAACTACCGCGGAGGACACGACTGTCCACCCAAAGTGTGGAGAACTCACGTTTGGTGAAAATGAATCAGGCGTGGATTATCTGGATTTCAAACCACCAGTTCCTTGACACAACTGACTCAAATCCGCCATGAAATCATGCCCCAAACATGTTATTAGGGACAAATGGAATGACCTCCACCTGATCCGTAACATTTGTATATATATTTTATTGAGAGGCTGCTGGTCGGCCGACTCATTGTTTTGCACCATTTTTAATGACTTATCCTCTGCAGGTCGGGTGCCCCTCATGAATTGGGGTATTTTAAATTATTTATACTTCGCTGGACGACCGTCACATGAATTGAACCTTTTTAATGACTTATACCTCTGCTGTCGGGCCCCTCATGAATTGGGGAGTTTTTAAATTATTTATACGTCGCTGGAACGACACTGTCACATGAATTAAAAAACTTTTTAATTATTTATAGTCGACCAGTTCCAGACCGATGGAATAGCAATTTTTTTAAATATTTATTTCACACGTGTTGTCCATCCTCATCCAATGAGGTGGACTGTTTTATTTATTGGCCACGGTTTGGCCCCCCTCCTGTTTCTTACATTGTTAAACTATTGTTGTATCGGTCACGGTTTGGCCCACATGTTTGGTTGTCTTGTTAAGATGTTTTCTGTAATGTACCAGTTACGCTTGACTTGTCGACTTTCCACAATCTAACAAGGTATAGCATCGCATCAAAGTTTTTTTTTTTTTTATTGGTGGTCTAAACCATTTCTATAATGTCAATTTGTAGGATAACGCCGCTGTAAGGCGACCTACTTTTTTTGTCACTGTGTAGACATCTATTATATAGCCGATGTTTGGCCAGAAAGATATATTTAGTAATAACCTAGCCGTTCAAGCCGCTCACTGAACACCTCGGGAATTGCTTTGTTATTATCTGTCGCCTTAGGGGCCGCTGTCTGGCGACATAATTTTTTGTCACTCGTGTAGACATCTACTTTATAGGCCGATGTTTGGCCACAAAAATATATTTAGTAATAACCTAGCCGTTCAGGCCGCTCCCTGAACACCTCGGAATTGCTTTGTATATCTGTCGCCCTTAGAGGCGCTGTCCTGAACAGCTCATGAATTGCTTTCTATATGTGTCGCCTTTGAGGCCGCCAGGCTGGACAGCTGATGAATTGATTTTGTATAATGTACTTATTGTCCGCTGTCCCGGACAGCTCATGAATTACTTTTTGTATATAGCCTTCCAAAAACCACTCTCAGAATAAGTCATGATATTCATGCTGTGTAATAGCCTTATAGGCCAATGGTCAATCAAGTCATGATTGTTATAGTGTGTATAGCCTTATAGGGCCCGCTGTCTTACAACTTTATAATTCCATGCAGTATATAGCCCTATCGGCCACTTTCTGGCATCCAGTTGCTGTAGCCCCCATCACCACACTGTGCCACGGGCCCCTGTACCGCCTTCTCATACTGCTGCCAGAATCCATCCTCTGCCATGTGCGTCTTTGTCGTCTGCTCACGGCTGCTGGGGTTCTCAGTTTTTAAAAAACCTAGGCCTGTGTATGGCTTCCGAATTACTGCTGCCTCCACCGCCACCCTGCGCCATGTGCCTCCTGTCGTCTGCTCACGCTGCTGACGGCTTCGCTTTTTAACCTAGGCCTGTGTATGGCTTCCGAATACTGCTGCCGCTCTCCACCGCCACCCTGCGCCATGTGCCTCTGTCGTCTGCTCACGCTGCTGACGGCTTCCGCTTTTTAAACTAGTCCTGTGTATGTCTTCCGAATACTGCTGCCTCCTTATCCTCCGCCACCCTGCGCCATGTGCCACTTTCGGTCTCCTCACACTGCTGCTAGGTCCATACTGATTCATGGCCCCCTGTACCCCGGCTCCTCATGAACGTTGGTTCAGCGGGTTTGCATCACTTAACGGCAAATCGTTGACAAATGCTGGGACGTTCATGTTGTGCGCATTAAGCCAGACACCAAAGGGCAGCACAGACCTTTTATTACTCGCTCAAGCATGGCTGAACAAAACCAGTCTCTACCACAAATTGGACCCAGACCTGCCCAGGGTCTCGTAACTAGATTGCCACGGAGCTGGAGTAGAGTCCGTTATCGGAATAAAATAGACAAAACGCCACATCCAAAAAGAGTGGCCATTTCCAACACTTATTCCAAAGAGGAACCACCCGTTTCATATACGGCCCGTAGACGTTTCACGTCTGCCACATTCAGTCCGATTTAAGACGCAAGCTGCCATTTATTTCCTGTGGTCTGCTGACCGTCCGATATACCTTTAAGCGTGTCCAGCTTTGAAGCTATATTCCCTCCGGAGCACTGACACTGAGGTGCCCTGCTCCGTCAACATGCCTTTAAGTTTCAGTTTTCAACCATATTCCCCACAGAAGCCAAACTCTTGGTATCCAGAAGCTGCTCAGCGGGTCAGGGCAATAAAGCTCTCGGTTCGCAGTTGTTTCCGTCTTATGGATGGAAGTACGACGGTTATATGATCGTTCTTCGCACCCACGCATTACCTCATAAAATTTTCTGCATTGCATCTGCAATCACAACGCTGACGTCCCGGATCGCCACTCAGCCATTGGACTCTTGATAGTCGTCTCCCCACACTGCTGCTGGGGGGACTTTTTTAACCTAGGCCTGTGTATGGCCTTCAATTGAAGCTGCTTCCGCTCCCGCCACTCTGCCATTGTCAACTCTTGATAGTCGTCTCCCCACGCTGCTGCTGGGGGACTTTTTAACATAGCCTCTGTATGGCCTTTAATTGAAGCTGCTTTACGCTGCGCCACTCTGCCATGGGCCTCTTGGGTATCCCAGAAGCTGCTCAGCGGGTCAGGGCAATAAAAGCTCCCGGTTCGCAGGGTTGTTCCGTCTTATGGATGGAAGTACGACGGTAATATGATCTTCTTCGCACCCGAACGGCATCCCTCATAGAATCTCTGCATTGCATCTGCAATCACAACGCTGACTTCCCGGATCACCACTCAGCAATTGGACTCTTGATAGTCGTCTCCCCACACTGCTGCTGCTTGGGGACTTTTTAACCTAGGCCTGTGTATGGCCTTCAATTGAAGCTGCTATCCGCTCCGCCACTCTGCCATTGGACTCTTGATAGTCCGTCTCCCCACGCTGCTGCTGGGAGGACTTTTTAACCTAGGCTGTGTATGGCCTTCAATAAAAATGAAGCTGCTTCTGCTCCGCCACTCTGCCATTGGACTCTTGATAGTCGTCTCGACCACCCACACTGGCTGCAGGGGGGACGTTTTAACATAGGGCCTCTGTATGCCTTCAATTTAAGCGTGCTTACGCTTCGCCACTCTGCCATGGGCCCCTGTACCGCCTCCTCTTGCTGCTGCCAGGTCCAGAGTGTGTCATGGGTCCCTGTACGGCCTCCCATTGCTGCTGACTTCATCGCCAGACTCTGCCATGTGCCACTTTCAGGTCTCCTTACACTGTTGGTGGGTTCCATTTTGTGATAGGTGCTGTATGCCTTCCATTGCTGCTGCCCTCCACCGCCACCCTGCGCCATGGTGCCTCTGTCGTCTCTGCTCACGCTGCTGACGGCATTCCGCTTTTTAAAACCGAGGCCTGTGTTTGGCTTCCGAATACTGCTGCATCCACCGCCACCCTGCGCCATGTGTCTCTGTCGTCTGCTCACGCTGCTGAACTCAGGCTTCCGCTTTTTAACCTAGCCTGTGTATGGCTTCAGAATAATGCTGCCTACACCGCCACCCTGCGCCATGTGCCTCTGTCATCTGCTCACGCTGCTGCCCAGGTCCATACTGATTCATGCCCCCCTGTACCGGATCCTCATGAACGTGGTTCAGCAAGCGGGTTTGCATCACTTAAACGGCAAAATCATTGACAAACGCTGGGACGTTCAGTGTTGTGCGCATTAAGCCAACACCAAAGGGCAGCACAGACCTGTTATTACTCGCTCAAAGCATGGCTTTGAACAAAACCAGTCTCTACCACAAATTGGACCCAGACCTGCCCAGGGTCCTCGTAAGTAGAATTGCACGGAGGAGTAGAGTTCGTTATTGGAATTAAACTGTGAGGGACTTTTATAAAACCTAGGCCTGTGTATGGCCTTCAATTGAAGCTGCTGCTTCTGCTCCGCCACTCTGCCATTGGACTCTTGATAGTCCGTCTCCCCACGCTGCTGCTGGGGGGACTTTTTAACATTGGCCTCTGTATGGCCTTCACAATTTTAAAGCTGCTTACGCTCCGCCACTGTGAGTTTTCTGCCATGGGCCCCTGTACCCCGCCTCCTCATGCTGCTGCCAGGGCCCGTAATCTGCCATGGGCCCCCGTACCGACTCCTCATGCTGCTGCCAGGCCCGTAATCTGTCATGGGCCCCTGTATACCCGCCAGACCCTCATGCTGCTGCCAGTTTCCAGAGTGTGTCATGGGTCCCTGTACGGCCTCAACCCATTTTGCTGCTGTCTCCATCGCCACACTCTGCCATGTTGCCACTTTCAGGTCTCCTCACACTGCTGGTGGGTTCCATTTTTGTCATAGGGTGCTGTAAGGCCTCCCATTGCTGCTGCTGCCTCCACCGCCACACTGTGGCTCCACACTCTGGTTTGGCCCCGTGAACTGCCCAAATGAGTGAAGTGTGCGGTGATTCTAAGATCGACGGCACTCATCTGCATGTCAATACTGACTGACAGTATTAATTTCTCTTCCCAGCAGACTCCAAGGCATTTAAATTAAAGGTACAGTGTTCTGCACTAATATAAAGGCTCCTGAAGCCTAGAAACACCCTTTTTATAAGCGTTTAAATTTTCGCAGCGAATATTATTCAGGCACGAAGCTGAAATTTATCGGACGAATCAGCCGAACCGAATTTTTGAATAATTCGCTCATCTCTAGTTACGGCTATTACAGTACATATTACATTTTTATACCCATGTGTAACCATTTTTATGTAACACACACACGGCCTTTTTATAGTTTCTTATAGTCCTTTTTTCATAATAATGGTTTTTAGTAATTTCATATTATCATTTATCATCTCATTATGTTTTTTAATGGATTTTTCTTTGTTCCATATATTGTAAATTATTCACGTCATAAAAAACGTGAACTATTACATTTATATCATACATACTCTCTCACTTTCTGCAGAGCTATGCCATTATAAAACAGTAAATATAGATTTAATATTCATAGTATGTATCTTCCCCGAATTTTATGTCTTTTGGTATTGCGAGTCCTTTTAACGGTCTGTGTTTATCTACAAAGCAGGCAGAGGGAAAATGGCGCCCACGCATGCGCATTCCTGTCGATCTCCAGTCCCATGTTATCTCGCCTCTAGACTAACGCAAATGGCTCTCGCATTCTCAACGCATACGCATTAACGGTTTGTCCCTTCGGCAAGATGGCGCACGTCATTAGTGTGCGCTTTTTCCAAAGATATAAATAGTTTGTATAAGACCAGGATGCACATGGAGCACACCCCTTTTGAAAACGTATTATAGTACGAAATGTGTCAAGGAGGAGCCCTGCACACCGTGACATCACGCCGCCCGGAATACGGAGGTCTGGGCGGCCAAAAATATAAATTTGATGCAGCGCTACATAAAATATAACTATAAATATATGAAGTGAATAGAAGTAATTAAATATACATACATATAGTTATGAGTGATAATCATAACATAATATAAAGTGAAACCAATACACGTGTATAAGCTAAAAGTGATGTTGATCCTCTAGGGATCCAATGAAAAGAGAAAGAAAAGTGTAAACAGATCCACTAGGGGATCTAAATGTGATATCAATAGCATGAAAGTGTATCCACACATAAAGAAGAAACAATGGATGCGTACGTGAACTGATCCACTTGGATGGATCTACTAGTGATAATCTGATAAGTGATCACTTCAACCAATAGGTGAGAACATAAAAACTAGTCCAAATGGGACTATATAGTGAGCACTGTCACAGACTGAAGACTGAAGGAACCACACAGATGTCAATGAAAAAAAAACTCCCTAAATTGGATGTGAGCAGTCACTCCCCCACAAAGAAACAAATGGCATATACAAAACTATGTGACCTAAAAAAAAACAGTGAAATTCAATAAATATCATGTAACAAAAAAAACAAAAAGCACGGTAATGAACTGACACACCATGCTACACTAAATCCAAATAAATGTGCACATATAATAAACACATAAAAAATAGGAATAAAAATGAAATGCATAAATCAAAGAAATTCAGCAAATAGTCCAAATTGATGTTAGCCACCACGGTACTCCAACATATAAAAGCACTCATGCAGGTGAAAAAGAGATGTGCGTGACCACGAAAGAAATCCACAATGGCTGAAATGCCCCGCTCACCTCCTTGCTGACAGCGACCCCAAGGGCCAAAACACCTGTAGGATCAACCCAACTGGATCCTTCATGTATATGACTCCTCCCTCGCCACTGTTAGCCTCTCCCTGCAACGAAATCCCCTCCAGGCGTATGTGTTTTGGTTAGCAAGATCCTCTCCAGGTAGGTTAAGTGTAGTATGGCCAATTACCCATTAAAAGACATAAACAGAAATTCCCCATAGAGTAATACCTCTTTTACTTGAGTAAAAACAACAAACCCATTCACAAATTCCCACTCAACATTTATAATATATTACAAGCATTTAACCTCATGCGAATGGGTGTACTTGCATGGGTTGGGTGTAGTAAGATGGGCGACCACAGCTGGAAGTCGCGTCCCCAATCCACATGGCTGCCTATGCGTTGTCATCATCACTTAAATCACGTGGACTTCCCCCTCAGGGCCATTTTACTTTCCACCAGCAGTTTTTACAGAGCAATTTCCACTGTATTGCATTAATCTTTGCACAAAGACCACAAAGTTAATGTTGTTACTTTTGATCTTTTTATGGATAACGTTACTATTAAAGCACTTTAATTACTACACTCAATGGGAATCCCCCCTTATTTTGCTCTGCACCGATCACTTTAATTTTCCCAGCTATCCCCTGATGACCCTCCTAAAGGGAAATTCCGGGGACTGTCTTTCCCGTAACCCAAAAGGGGGGCCAACTACCCCAGGTGTATCCCAAACCCACCCTGAGAAGGGGTACCTGACAGGGCCACCTCTATACTAACAACACGCTAATTACATGCGCTCTGGGGATGCACATTTATCCATTTACCTGCACACCCACCTGAATATTTGAAGTATTGGGAAAAAAAAGCGTCTCAAATCATTTTTATGAATGTTTAATTTTAAAAATTTTTTTAGTATTTTTGACATAAACCATGTTTTTCCACAGTCTGTTTCCTCCAGATTTTTTGAATTTTTTTTAAATTTAATTTATGAAAGACATTTTATGGTCCAAAAAATTTCCCCCTTTTTGCGTTTTTTCTAGATGCATTTAAAATTTTCCTTTAATAATTGCATAATAATAATGCACTTTTAAATATATTTTTTATCTGAAGGCATATGGTTTTTTTTTCCCTTTTTAGGGGAAATTATTTCTTTTAAAAACAACCCCGTTTGCCCCTTTTCATTTATATTTACCCCCCCTTTTTTGGGCCGCCCCTTTCCCAGCCCAAATTTTTTGGCTCCCAATTATGCCGGGGATTTAACCAAAATTTAGGGTGCATTTTTCAAAAGGGGCAAGGACTCAAAAAAAAAAATAAAAAACCAAAAAGCACATTGGTGCCTATTGTTGCAGTTTAATCGTTTTTGATGTTTTTAAAGGCCTGGTTCAAAACCAATGCGGGTTTGTTTTTTTGCCCCTTTTTGCAGTAAAATTTACTTTTTTACACGTTTTTTTTGGGATGTGTTTTTTAAATTTTTTTTTTTTTCTAGCCAACTTGCCGGGGCAGTTTAAAACCCCAAAATGCACCCAAAAACTCACACATGGGGTGTTTTTTGACGTTTTCAACCCTTTAAGCAGGGTTCATCCCAAAAAGCAGTTTGCGTTTTGTCAGTTTGCAATTCTTTTTTGCAGTGTGTTTTGTGTTTTTTTCCATTCAAATTTTTTAATGTTCTCTTTTTTTTGGTCAACTTTGTTTCGGGGGAGATACAAAATCAAAACACATAAAAAATGCAAACCTTTTGCATTTTTTATGCATTTTCAATTCATTTTTAGCCCGTACACAAAACCAAAGCAGTTTGCATTTTGTTTGTTTTTTATGGGTTTTTTTCATGCAATTTTTTTATTTCCTTTTTTTAGTTTTTTTTAACCCCAAAAAAAAAATCAAAAATGTAAAACGGTGTTTTGCTGCAAATTTTTTCTGTGTTTTGTGGCTTTTTCAATGCATTTTTTAGGCATGTTTCGAAACCGCAAAAAATAATGCAGTTTGTTTTTGTTTGTTTTTCCCTGCTTTTTCAGAGCGCTTTTGGGGGGTTTTGCATGCTGTTCTTTGGTTTCCTTTTTTTTATTTTGCTTTTGGGGGTTTTTTTTTTTAAATGCCAATTTGGGTTTCTGGGGAGATTTAAAAAAGCAAACACAAAAAAAATTTGGGGAACCGTGTGATTTTCATGCGTTTTTTTCTGCTTTTTCAAAGCATTCAAAGGCCCGGTTCACACCAATGCAGTTTTACACCTTTTTTTCCCTTTTGCAGTGCTTTTTACAGCAC